AAAGTCAGCGACCAACTATTTCCCATCAGCTGCTTTTACCTCTCTTAGAGCGTTTGGGGACCATGTTGGTGGTGGCTTGCCAGTGGGGTGGGGGCGGGCATATTAACCATATATTAACGGCAATTAAAGCTGCACCAAATTGTTGTCAATAAGTCAAAAAGCAACATAGCCTTGATTTGCAGCTAATATGACATATTAATTTGGGTCTTAAAATCGGGGTCGGTTCCAAAATAAAATCTTTATTAATTTTTTTATTAATTTCTGGGGTAAATATCGTCTGATTTTTAAATGTTATACTTTTAAATAAAAAAATCGATGTGATACAACTATTTTAGTTGTTGACCAAAAACCAATTAGTTTGTAAAGTCAACCTTTTTTGATAATATTCTGGAATATCTCGGCCAAATATTGTTCGATTTTGGAGTCGTAAGGATCAGTACTATACGTTGGCATTAAAATATGAAAGCCTAAATTTTGACCCAGATCGACCAAAATGGCACGTTCGGGATCGCTTCGAAAACCAAAATTGTTTTGATGATTTTAATACCCCTGTACCCATTTACAATGAGTAGAAGGGGTATAATGTTTCTTATTTTTTATTCTTTGCGACTGTTGAAGGCAGCTGCGAAATTCGAGCTCGTTCCAGTTACAGTTGCTGCAACAAAAGCAAAATTTTCTGCAAGAGTGTCAAGTGGTAAGTGGCAAGTGGCATGTGGCATGATGAGTGCAACTCCTGATGCTAGCGACTTGTCGTTCATTAAAACCAAACACTGCAGCTCCCAAAGCCCAACAACAACAACTTTAGTTACAGTTACAGTTGCATAAATTCTTGGCTATATTAACTGTAGATTGCTGTGTGTCCTGTGTGTGTGTGTGTGTGTGTGTGTGTGTGTGTGTGTGCACGTGGCATATTATACTGGCAAGTACCCCCGGAGCCAGTTGACTCCAATTTCGGTTTGTGGCCCAAGTGAAATTTATATGCCCAAATTTAATGAACTTGAAGCATTTGCACGTTGTCTGCCCTTGGCTAGCCGCCCCCTCCCTGTCTCTCTCTCTCTCTTTTACACTGCCTATCAAGCACGCTCTCTTCCTATCAGAACAATTCACTGGCGCCCAAATGCATATTAGCCTGCCCTTTTGCCACAGAGGGGTTTGCGTGTGGGTGGGGGCCGGGCGAGGAGGGGGGGGGGGGGTGGAGTTGTGCATCCTGTGGCTGCGACTGCACCCGCTGCCTGTGTCCTGATTTGGCACAGTGGCCATTTGCCCAAAATTGGCGCTGCCAATGCATTTGCTAAGACATAAAGTAAACCACTGCAAAACGCTCGAGTTTCGCTGTCTGTGCTGCCAGTTCCAAACAAACCACGCCCCGACAGGCCCCTAGAAGAGCTCTCACTACATCTCTTAGATCTAGTGTGTGTGTGCGTGTGTGTGTATGCGAGGGAAAACAGCATGAAAATCAAATTATAAATAAATTATGCAATTATAATTACACAAGGAAACTACTTGGGGCGAAACAACTTACACACACACACACACACACATGCACACTAAACGCCAGCAGCGACATTTGTTGTATGCGTGTGTGCGTTTGTGTGTGCTGGTGTGTGCCTCTGTGTGTGTGTAGAGTCCTGACTGCTGCCTCAGCAACGTAGCTGCGAAAAATGCTGCAAGTTGTCATGTAAGGCGCGTGTCTGTCTGTCTCTGTGTGTGTGCGAAGTTGTCCTCGTCTCGTCTTTGTCCCTCTTCGAGTCCTTTTGTACCCAGTCACAAATAGTACAAGTACAGGAAAATAATTACATTTTACGTGTTCCTATTAATCTTGCTGAGTTTTTAGTTTTAGTTTTAGTTGTTGCCCACTAATTCACTTTTTGTTCTTCGCTCTCTTTCTTTACATTTCACACATTCTCTCTGTCTCTCTCTCTCTCGTCCCTGGCCACCTTTCGAATTCAATTTTCTTGTTTCAGTTTTGTTGCCCACTTTATACCCAAACTAGTTCGTACAAACCGGAAGCTATGTACCCTGAAACTTTATAAAGCAAACTCTACTTAATTTTAAACCTTTCTCGCATGTCGTATTGCAAGAATATGAATACCGATTCGGGTCTAAGTCGAGACGTATTATTGCAAGCTTAAAATAACGAAAGCTGTTTAAAATGAATTTGAACCGGCGACCTCACGCTTGTTAGTCCGACGCTCAGTTACCTAAGCCACACAGTCTCATGCAAAGCACACTTTTCGATGTTTTTCATGCAAACTTTGACCCCACTGGGAGCGTGAGTTTTCCAAAAGGAAGCCTTTTAGCTTGGGCTGTGCAGGGCAGATATACAAGAATATGCGCAAACAATTGCTGCTTGCAACTTTAAAGGATTAGTTTAGCTTTAAAGCTAAATTTGTTAATACTTATATCTACCCAAATACTTCGGTATCTCTACATATATATTCAAAAATAGAAATACATATCTGTGTGAAGTTTTATTAAGAGAGTTTAGATTTTATAACATTGAAGACTCTATCATATTGTGATTTGTCATTATCTATTCGCAAAAGCTTTTATTATATTTTAGTTGTTATAGTATTAAATAAACTATTTTAATCTGCTTAATAATATTTTCATATAGCTCTCGTTTCTCTCCAAACTTTTTGCGCTCAAATTTTGTAAACTGGGCGGATTACTTTATTAACTTGATGGGCTTTGAACTGCTTTGTTTTTAATTTGCTCTTCTTAAATAGTTTTAGTTTATTGGCCACAAAATAAATCAAATAAAAAAGAGTTAAAATAAATAACAGACTGACCGAACCCCTCTCTGTGCGGCGCGAGCGAAGGGGCGAGATCTGCTCTCAACGCTCTGTGTGGCGAGTTGTTGTTGCATGCAACTAATTATGCTTTTTGCCATTTGGTAGTTTGCTCTTTTGTCACTTAGCAACATCATAAGCCGCTTAACCCGCTAAAGCCACAAAATTGAGGCACCAGCTTGCAGCACACACTCACCCACACACACACACACACACACACACACATGCAGACACATACGCACTTACCCACGCACACGTAAATCTCATTAAAGTTATGAGAACATGCTTCCAAATTAATTTCCGTAATTCTGCACTTGAGTTGGGGCGCTTTTTCATGTTGTTGTGTTGAAGAGTTTTTCTTTTTTTTTTTTTTTTTTTTTTTTGTATCAGGATAAAAGATAAAAACTATCCGTAGCTTGAATGCCATTACGTGTGTGTGTGAGTGGGGAGGGGTATTTTCGCCTTAAACAGGGCTGCATCTGCATTGGATGGCTAAAAATTGAGTTGCTTAAAAGTTATATTGAATGGCACCAAATACGATTGAATTTTATCGAATGCAAAACAAACGAGCTGCTTAAACATAAAAGCTCATTTCAACTAAAAAATCAAGCATTAAATACACCTACTGATAAAACAGTTGTCCGCCAGATAAAACTTATTACAAAAATGTCTTCAATTAAGAACTAAATATTCTCTCTTAAATATGCCCTATTCCTATAAAATACTGTTAATTCAAGTCGAACTCCTTCCTAGTTCCAATAGATTCATGTTAAATGAAATATTAAATTTACGTTCTTAAAGTTTCATTTCATTTGAAACTGTTTGCTTTAAGGGTCTAAGGGCTATTACTTAAGCTCCTTTAGTCTTAACCCAAATTTGTTCAGCTACTTGAGCTTCACTTATTCCGAATTATTCGCAAACGTGCTGGGCTAAGTAGTTAGTGGGAGCGATTAGTGCAACCTATTAGTGAAAGCCGCTTGGTATAAAACATTTATTGTTTCACCTAGGTATACGCATTCTTTTCATCTTCGACTGGCTCTGCTTTGATGAGCTCACAATTTGATGTAAGTGCTTTCAGTTGTTGAATTGCCTTCTCATAAACTTTGTATTGATGCTTGTAGGTGTCCAGCCTAATCGTAACTATAATAGTTGGCATCTCTGAACAATATTCTCAATAATCTCCACTTCGATAAACGCCGGTTTCTGATACGCTGTAGGTAAAACATGTATTTGCATATGTGAAATTTTTATTCGCATTCTTATTGCAGTTATTATGCATTTTGAGCTTCTTTAGACGTATCTATCCTCTCTTTTATTGATGTTTTCAACACTGACAAATGCATTTAACCGTTCGCAAGATACAGCTCTGCCTAGTCGATATTTTAATGACACGCGTCGATAGGACTGAAAGGTCTCGGATTCGATTAGAACAGTGTTGGGTAAGTGTGATAAGTCAGCGTTGGATTCATTGCTGTTTCTTTTAAGCTTTATAAATTTATTCAAGTGTACGGGTTTTAATAAAATGTAATGCAAGTGATTTATTTACGCTTTTTCACCGATATAACCATATATATTGAATATATCTTTGCGTGAAAAAACGATATAATTGGATATACAATTTTTGTGCGTAACCATGTGAATTCGTGAATGCCACTTAAATAACATTTCAAGTGTAAATGAACAATCTGAAATTTGAATCGCAGACAGCAGCACAGTGGATATCAAGTCTAAGCTGGTCCTAAATGCATACCTGGTACATTGCGCTGCAGTGCTTCAGTATCCGGTTGAATGACGGCACCTTCCGCGGAAATGTACTACTTGGTTCTTGGATCAACAAAATTGCTGGCTCGTGCAATGTTCCTCGGTTTGGGCCTTAATCAAAATTTTATGAGCCGATCCGTACAATTAAGGCAGCCACGTAAGCTTTGTTTATTCTGAAAATTAAGGCACATATCTATCACAAACGAGATGGGCGAACTAGTTACTAATACCGATTGGTACAACCCATGGGCGGGTAGCCCTTGGTATTACACAATTATTGCTCTATCTTTGTCTTCCCATTCTTTATGTCTTCGACTTGTCTTGCTTTATTAGGCTTACAAGCCTCCAGGTCCAATTCAAAGCTCTCGCATCTCTCGATAAGACTCTGCAACAGTTGCGCAGCCCGGGCATCAACATCGTCATCATCAAGATTGGGTGAATAGGGCTTGTCGCAATACTGACGCTTGTAGGCCGTCAGCTCGGTCTTTAGCAGTTCGCATTTCTGGGCTATTCCGTCCAGGCGTTGCTGAAATGGTTGCCAGCTTTTGTTACGGCGCGGGTGGTAAACGTATTTCTCCAAATACTTGTATATTTCCGGATTGTTCTTCTTGCACATCTCACACATGCGAAACTCCCTTATCTGGCCACGAAAGTAGTGTGGCGGGAATGCATGATGGCACTCCGTGCAGGTGAGCACATACAGATCCTGTAATCGAAAGGTGTTAATTATACCTGAGCATGGCGAAGCTGCCACATACTTACATAGTTCTCCATTTCGGACGGCTTTCGACTAGGCAGCTCTTTATGGACACGCTTCTTTATGGTTTTGCCTTTATTCACAGTTCGCGACATTTGGCTGAGGACGTTCTCAAAAATGAAAAAAAAAAATGAATGCTATTTTTATACAAGGCTTTTTTGTCGTTTGACAGCATGTGTCGATAACAGTACAAGATCTGGATATCGGTATGTTTTTAGCAGTGTTCTCAAAGACCGATAAGTTGGTGTTTGAAAGAGAGCTTTTTATTGAACAGTTCTGATCTGTTCTGTTTCTTTATTCGAATTCTCTATTCTAACAATCCGACGTGCAACGCCGTCTTATTTCCACTATTTATTTATTTGGCAAGAGATAATAAACCAATTTGTAAAGGACTCTACAGCAGAAAAGTACTTTCAATTTGATTTGGAGAGGTTTAAGTATACAACAAGCCAATGAGAAGTATACAGATTAAAAGGGGAGTAAAAAGTTTTGATAATGCTTTTAACCAGTTTCCATCTAGAATTGTATTTCCCGCTCTACTACATAACCTAATTTTGCCAATCGATTTGTGGAATTCAGTCGGTTATTATATGCCGAAGAGTAATTATATATATCAGAAATGAGCTAGAAGCTAAAAAATAGTAAGTAATACCGTTTAGTATAGCCCAATGAATTATTTACCATTCTAGTTGGTTTCCTCCCTCTCACCTAGAATTAGCTCTGCTTTATAGAGCTTACAGGTCGCCAGCTCCTTTTCGAGGGCCTCGCAGTTTTTGACTCATGTTTGGTGTACTTCTCAACACTAATGTTATTGTTTTATCGTTTGACAGCACGTTACAGTGATAAAAGCTCTCTGAACGTTTATCGGTTCACAACGATTTGCGCTGAAAGAAAAGTATTGGGTTAGTGCGAAAAAGCAGTTAGGAATTTGTCTTAAATATAAAGCAGCACACTTATTAAAAATAAAATAAAATAGTTCACATACGACAAGGGGGCAGAATGTAACGTTCCCTAAGCAAACAACTTTTTTCACTGCAGAAGCACATTCTTACTAAGTATGTAAGTATATAAAGTTGTTAGGTTAAAGAAAATCGGTCTTGAACGGAAATGTAAAATTGGGTCAGCTTAAAAAGCTTTATTTATTTGATTTGTGGAATACATTCATAGCTCCATCTTAATCTCCGCATTTTTTTCGCCTTCGACCGGCCTGGCCTTGTAGAGGTCGTAAGACCCCAGTTCCTTGTCGACGATCTCACACTTATAGATCAGACTTTTTAATAGTTGCACAGCCTTTGCATTCACGTCGTGACTGTCCAATTTGGATGAAGCTGGTTTGTAGCCATATTGATGATTGCGGGTCAACAACTTAATCTTAAGAAGTTCGCATTTTTGGATTATCCTCTTCAGGCGTCTCTGATATGGATGACAGTCATGTATATGGTTCGGGTGATACACATACTTATCCAAATATTTGCATATTTCCGGGTTATTCTTCTTGCACATCTTGCACATGCGAAACTCCCTGATCTGGCCACGAAAGTAGCGGGGCGGAAATGCTTGATGACATTCCGTGCAGGTGAGCACATAAAGATCCTTAATTGGGAAAATCTCTAGCGTATATATGCGCATGCCAGAAATGCGATACACTTACTCGTTTATCCCTTTCCGACTTTTGTTGTAACATCTTATGGTATTGCCTTTTTTTATTTTTTTGTCGATTCATTGTTCGTGACATTTAGATAACGATATCCAAAAGACTGACAAAATTAAATGCTCTTGATATACAAAGATTTTGTATTGATGTCCTGGACATCACGTGTCGATAACAGTTTAGAATCTCTGAATCGATAATCGGTAAAAACAGTGCTGGATAATGTCGATTAGGAGGCTTGGATTTTTAAGATTGGAAGCGAAATGGTTTATAGTGTATGCCCTGCAGTCTAACATATACATAGATGCCCTTATAAATTATGTATATATACGATGATAGTGATATTATCGACTAAACCGGGTTATTCGTAGGTGACTTTCTTTCTTTCTTTATTCCTAACCCCCTCTTGTTCCCAAGATGGAATCTGTTACCCTTGCCTGTGTACTTGTCCTGAGCCCAGATCCCAGAACAGAAAAATTCTTTGGAATAAATATTATTTGAGTTCACTCTTAAGTTAAAGTATTATGCCTAAAATGGGGTCGGCTGTAGAAAACGTCAGTTATGTAATTTATTCCAAGGAGTAGTGCACATATTTATAGAATTTAACTGGGCCATAAAAAATTATGAGTATAACTCATTAGTGAAAACGCCCTAATATAAGATATTTATTGCTGCTTGGATACCAAATCCATATTCTTTTCATCTTCGAAAGGCTCTGCTTTGATGAGCCTACAGGCATTCAGTTCCCTTTTGAGTACCCCAGGCGCAGCGCATGCCGCCAGCTTTATTTTAATTAGTTGGCATTTCTGGACAATATTCGCAATAATCTCCTTTTCAATTAACGTGGGTTCTTGATGCGCTGCGGGTGTTATAAAAGTAGCTACTTCAACAAATATTTGCTTTTGTGGAATATTTATTCACATTTCTACAATGCTGTAGACTTGCGTTGTTATCCATTTTGAACGTTTTGCGGCAAATTAGCTTTTCCAAAAAAAAACCCTTTATAACTTTTGTCAATTTACAGTTTGTGACACTCGGTTGAAAATGTTTTCAACACTGACGAAATACAGTGCTCCTTAAATTCAACACTATGCTATCGACTTTCGGGAGCAAATGTCGAAAGGCATTTTTTCGATTTTTGCTGAAAGCAGTATGGGATAAGTGCGATTGGCGGTAAAGAGCAAAAGTATAATCTATTATACTCTAAGAATTAAAAAATTAACGAAAAGAGCAGCAAAAAGTTGTTTATATGTATTAAGCCACTTAACATGGGCAGATCAAGTAAAATATTTCTTGTAGTTTTTCAATGACCTCTTCTGTTGCTCATAAGATGTCGTCCTAATCGAGTATATATACTTTTTATGGGTCCGAGCTGCTTTCTGTTACATACACTTTAACAAAAACATGTTGCCCTTTTTACCCATTTTCAACGGATTTAGAAAATAAAACGACAGCTGTAATAATCGATAGCATGGTCAATGAAATACAAAATAAAGCCTAGGCTAAAATGCCTCACTAAAAATAAGTGAGAGCAAAGACTCCCTGTGTAAATGCGATATATAAAAGATATTGAGGCAACACCTTAATGCGTTTTACAGCACTGCTTGGAAACGTTAATGCAACACCCATTGCTCCATTATGAGTAGCTGTTCACTCAGCACAGCGAGCAGAGTTTAGAAAACGTAAAAGGGGAAGAAATGAAGAGAGAGAAATAGAGTGCCTCCTAAACACACACGCACACACACACACACACCAGTTGTTTGACCATTGCAGCATTTTTGGCTAACGCATTCAGCGTGTGCGATGCTCCGCACTGTTTTCAATTTAGTTGTGCACAGCGAAGCAGCAGTCGGAGCCAACACCTGCCATTTGCCGTTAGACAATCCAGCGCTGGGTCGTCGAAAGACGAGAGGTGCGTGGTGAGGACGATTGCAGCGAGGGAGTTGGATTTAGCTGCCAGTGCTGGACACGGGCCTGCTGCAGGGACAACCTGGTCGTCTGGCTATTTCCTCAGCCCCGCGAGTCGCAGCCTGTGCAGCTAGTACCTCGTGCTTTGGCCCATTGGTGGCGCCACTCAATTCAAATGAATCCCTGTTTGGCTTTCACTTGACAATGGAGACACACACACAGACGCACGCATACCCTGAGAGGGATCTCTCGATGTGTGTGCGAGTCAGTGAACTTAATTTGGTCACACACAATTGATTCTTTTTATGGGCACACTCTTTCATACACACACACATACCCCAAACCGCACACAGAGACACACACACATTAAGCTGTTATTGTTGTGGCAGAAAACTGTACACTGATAAAAAACATCTCTTTCTTCTGTTACCTTAATTCGTAAATATTTGATCATCCACATTTACAAAAGCACTTATTTAATTAAAGTGATGTAAGTCACAGTTTGCGAGCTACAGCTAACAGTTTGGGATTCGCTGGATTGCAGTTGCAGTTCCAATGATACATATAACATTATAAATATTCGTATGCGATTATTCTAGAATTGCAGTTTTAGAATCACAGATATTTATTTAAAAGATATCACAAATATTTATTAAGAGTCACGGCTTAAGACACATTGTTATAGAGTCCGAATTTTTAAACTGTTTTAAATACTAGTTTTGGACTCACAATATTTGGGATTCATTTTCAATTCAGTTGTAGAATTTGAGTTTTCAACCAACAATTGCCATTGAGCAGTTCTTGAGTCACAGTTGCAAACCATATAATGTTTAGCTCTTGCCGGAAACTTGTTGCTGTCCATTTCACAGTCGACTAATTCCGATCACTATGTTCTTACATATTAAGTTCTCTCACTGTAGCAGCAGCTCCAGTTAGGAGCCAGTAGCCAGCAACTAGAACTAACAGCAGCAGCACACAACAGCAGGTGCTGAGGCCATGGCGCTGACGACGTTTTGTTACCTTGTGCAGAACTCGTTTTGTAATTTGTGGCTGAAACAATGCAATTAAGATGACATTAAGTGAAGTTCGCCAGCCCCCATCCGCCCCAAATGCCACCTCCTAGTATATCTGCGGCAGCAGCAGCAACAGCAGCAGCAGCAGCAGCAGCTCTAGCTCCAGTCCAGAGCCCGAGCTCCATTTGCATTTGCGGCCAACATCGCATTTCATCAGTCGCACCAGCTCACCGCAGGACCATTCCATTGTCTTCGAGTGGGAGTGGGAGTTGAATATGTGTGCGTCTGTGTACGTGTGTGCTGTGGTAATGACATCAAAGAGGCCATTTCTGTGGCCAATTTGACAAAATGCTTCTGCATTTTGCAGCCGCCGCTTGACATCGATTTTGAGCTATTCCATATTTAAATAACTTGTTGTTAAATCAAACAAAAGAGAACCTAAATGAATCTTCAATATAGTAACTGGAGCGTAAGTAAAGTATAACGAGAAATAGTGTGGTTGACAACACTATAAATTCATGCTGAGTACATTTTTCCTCATAGTTGAGAGCTTTTGTATTTTTATACCCTGGACCCATTAAAAATGGGTGTAAAGGTATATTGTATTTGTGCAAAATCCAAATGTATGTAACAGGAGAAGGAAGCATCTTCGACCCCATAAAGTATATATATTCTTGATCAGCATCAATAGCCGAGTCGATCTAGCCATGTGCGTATGTCTGTCCGTCCGTCCATATGTATGAACGCAAGGATCTCAGAACATATAAGAGCTAGAGACTTGAAATTTTAGATGTAGATGCTCCTAGTACCTGCGCAGATCGAGTTTGTTTCCGATAATCGATAACTTACTCCGTTTCCAAGCAATCGATAGAAATCGATATCGATATTCTGTTTTTTTGGGCAGTTTTGGTAAATAATAAGAGCTAGAGTCACGAAACATGATATGTTTTCCAGTATCTTTCATTTTATACCTATCGCCACCTCTCCGCTACCACCCCAGAGCTATAAATCAAGTTAATAACCAAACCTTTATTGCCAACCAATTTAAGCCAAAATTTAAATGCAATTGACTGTTTCAGTATACACAAAAATTCTATGATACAATAAGATATACTGTAGAAAATTTCATAAAGATCGGTTAAAAAAAACCAAAGCTATATGCAACTGCGCAATTGAATAGAGCAGCAGGGGAGATATGACGTTTTAAAACGACTCCCCTCGCAGATATACCTTCCAAGTCATCACGATTTTTTCAAAATCGAGGTCGGTGCGAAAATCGAAACTTTTCGATGATTTTTTTTAATATCTCGGTAAATAATGTCCGATTTAAAAATGTTATACCTCTTTGAGTGCGGACCCAAATCGCCAAAATAGCAAGGGGTTACATCAGGTTTTTTTTTTTTTTTAAATAAAGGTCAGTGCGAAAATCGAAACTTTTTTAATATCTCGGGTAATAGCCAAATCGCCAAAATGGCAAATCACTTTTTGTTCAACATCGAGGTCGGTGCGAAAATCGAAACTTTTTTAATATCTAGGGTAATAGCTCCGCGCGGAGGTATGACGTTCCAAAACGACATAGCTTCCCGCGGAGATATGACGTTACAAAACGACATAACTCCCCGCGGAGATATGACGTTCCAAAACGACATAACTTCCCGCGGAGATATGACGTTCCAAAACGACATAGCCCCCCGCGGAGATATGACGTTCCAAAACGACATAGCTTCCCGCGGAGATATGACGTTCCAAAACGACATAGCACCCCGCGGAGATATGACGTTCCAAAACGACATAGCTTCCCGCGGAGATATGACGTTCCGAAACGACATAGCTCCCCGCGGAGATATGATATTCCCAAACGACATAACTCCCCGCGGAGATATGACGTTTCAAAACGACATAACTCCCCGCGGAGATATGACGTTCCAAAACGACATAACTCCCCGCGGAGATATGACGTTCCAAAACGACATAGCTTCCCGCGGAGATATGACGTTCCAAAACGACATAACTCCCGCGGAGATAACACATTCCAAAACGAAATAACTCCGCCGAAAATAGTGTCCGATTTTGGAATTTTGTACAATTTTTGACTCGTAAAGATCAGTGCTATCCTATCGATTGTCATCAAAAACAAGGAAATCCAAAATTTTGACCCAAATCGACAAAATGGCAAGGGGTTACATCACGTATTTTTTTTTTTAAATAGAGGTCGGAGCGAAAATCGAAATTTTTTTAATATCTCGGGTAATAGCTCCGCGCGGAGGTATGACGTTCCAAAACGACATAACTCCCCACAGAGATATGACGTTCCAAAACGACATAACTCCTCGCGGAGATATGACGTTCCAAAACGACATAACTTCCCGCGGAGATATGACGTTCCAAAACGACATAACCCCCCGCGGAGATATGACGTTCCAAAACGACATAGCTTCCCGCGGAGATATGACGTTCCAAAACGACATAACACCCCGCGGAGATATGACGTTCCAAAACGACATAGCTTCCCGCGGAGATATGACGTTCCAAAACGACAAAACTCCCCGCGGAGATATGACGTTCCAAAACGACATAACTCCGCCGAAAATAGTATCCGATTTTGGAATTTTATACAATTTTTGACTCGTAAAGATCAGTTCTATCGATTGTCATCAAAAACAAGGAAATCCAAAATTTTGACCCAAATCGACAAAATGGCAAGGGGTTACATCACGTTTTTTTTTTTTAAATAGAGGTCGGTGCGAAAATCGAGATTTTTTTAATATCTCGGGTAATAGCTCCGCGCGGAGGTATGACGTTCCAAAACGACATAACTTCCCGCGGAGATATGACGTTCCAAAACGACATAACCCCCGCGGAGATATGACGTTCCAAAACGACATAACTCCCCGCGGAGATATGACGTTCCAAAACGACATAACTCCCCGCGGAGATATGACGTTCCAAAACGACATAACTCCCCGCGGAGATATGACGTTCCACAACGACATAACTCCCCGCGGAGATATGACGTTCCAAAACGACATAGCTTCCCGCGGAGATATGACGTTCCAAAACGACATAACACCCCGCGGAGATATGACGTTCCAAAACGACATAGCTTCCCGCGGAGATATG